CAGAAATGGAACAAAAATAAACAATGGAATAACTCAAAGCTTTGACGAGATAAGAAGGGAGGTTATGTGATGTAACATTAGATAACAAGGTAGGTTTCGTCCAGGCCTCCTAATGGACAAGTACCCAATTTTGATTACATTTTTAACAACGAAAAAATTAGCTGATTTTTTTTTTTTTTCACTTGATAAAATGAAATGAAATCAAGTGAAAAATAAAATAAAAAAATAAGAATAATAAGAGAAAATATAATAAAAATAAATAGAAAAAAAGGAAATTAATAAATAAAAAAATAAATAAAAAAAAGTCTGCTAAAAAACACATTTGACAGACTTTTTTTTTATTTTTTTATTTATTAATTTCCTTTTTATCTATTTATTTTTATTATATTTTCTCTTATTATTATTATTTTTTTTCACTTGATTTCATTTCATTTTAAATTCATTTGTTTATTAATCTCAATTCATTTATTGATTCTACTGCTATTTTTTAAAGTTTATTTATTTATACATTTCTTATAAATCTTATTACCTATAAATGTCTATTATTATCCTTATTTATTTATTTTATTCTATCAATCCATTTTTTTATTTATTTTATTTTATTCTATTTATTTTTTTTTATTATTTTTTTTTTTTTTTTTTGTACCAATCATCCAAATAGTATTAAATGATGTTATTTAGTTGATCGGACGCTTATGACCTGGACATTTTGCGCCTAGACATCGAAACAAACAAACAAACAAATTAGCTGATGTATTTTATCCCCCCCCCCTTTTTCTCGCCTCTACCCTAAAGGGTCATTGGCGTTTTCTATGATTTATACTCTGTTATAGTAGTTTACAATTTTTAAAAATTTTAACACGATCGAGACTCTTTCTTCATTATCTTGTAGTATTTCGTTTAGTGTTTTTCCTAGTTCTATTTTTTCTTTGTGCCTTTCGAATTGGGGACATTCTACTAGAAGGTGTTTCACAGTTTGCGGTGTATCATTACATTTCTCGCAAGTAGGAGCTTCTAGGCCTCTTAAAAGATAGCTATGAGTGAACTGGCAGTGCCCAATCCTAAGGCGGAATAGTATAATTTCTTCACGCCTGGACCTTCCTTCTGTTGCTAGTGAGCCATTTATCGCAAGTGGGTTTCACTTCTTTCAGCTTACACTCTTTGATCCTCCACTCTTTTTCCCAGTTTTGTATTTAACTACAAAGAAAATTGATCAATGTATGTAGTAGTGTTGTTTCCCATAATAGCGACAAAATGATCAATGGCTATATATAAATTCAGAGTATATATAGCATTTCCAACTTATATTCCTCTTTTTCCAGTTTAAATTCAACTATTTCCAAGACAAATTAAATCCTCTCTAAACCAAATCCAATCTTTTCCATTTCAATTTCAACATTCGATTTATTTTAACTTTTTTATAGAGTAGGCCATTTATTTATTTATATTAAAGAGTCTATTGTCTCTGTCTTGTCGAAAAAATCTGAATATAAAATAAAGAGAAAGTTTAATTTCAGACGGACAAAGTTGAATTTGATTTGGAAAAGGTTTAATTTTTCTTGGCTATTGTTGAATTTGACTTGAAAAAAATTTAATTAAAATTGGAAATTCTACATAATGCATGGCATCTTACATGCTGGTTGATATTCATATCGTGACTTCAACGTTGTTGCTAAACAGTTTGCAGATATTTTTGTAAAACGAATATAATAAAAATTTCCGGTCAAACTTTCTTCGATCGTCTTCACCATGACTAACGAGCTTTTAATCCTAATGCTAATTCAACTAATCTTGCTGACTTACGAAACCGTTGTTGATAATTGACTGGTTAATTGTGGTTCCTCTTCGGGGTGAAAACCTCCATGATGATATGATGATGAGCGGGCATCAGTCACGCTTTTATAGTCCTTATAACAAGGATGTGTCGGAAGAATGTTTTGGATGCTCTTCCAGGAGCGATCTCTTATCGATTTCGAGGAAGGAAAATACAACTTCTTTTATTTATATATATATATATATATATATATATATATATATATATATATATATATATATATTAATTCTGATAATGAATCCAAGAATATTAATCATTCAGGAAGCTATTATATATATATATATACATACTATTGTATTATATATATATATATATATATATATATATATATATATATATATATATATTGGGTCGTGTTCTATACTGGCCACAAAATCATAAATAATCATAGCCTATTAACTAACATGTTTGTCTGTCGATCAACAAAATATCATTTGTTAAAATTCTTGCTTAGGGTGCCAACCTAAGTTATTTCTTAGTTTGTCTACTTGCCACATTTTTATCACGCCGTTGAAAGTTCTTGTGATTTTTTATTACTGTGTACTAAAATTAAAGTTTTCAGTAATAAAACAATATTAAATTAAGCTTAAAAATAACGTGGATAGTTGACGTATTAAACAATAATGAAATAGTAGCGAGAGATCTCACAATCAGGAGCAAATTTTCCTAAATCCAATAAATAACAATAAAAAGATCACTAGTTTAAATAAAAATTATCAATTTTTGAAAAGAATAAACATTAGCTCTTATATGAAAAAGTACACAAAATGTGATTGAAGTGCACTCTTTAAAAACCGTTAGGCGTTGTTCACATCTTAATGATAGCTTAAAAACAAATAAATATTGTTATAGTTTACCAGCAAAGCTATAAGTAAATAAATAGGGTTAATCGTAGTGGGATAAAGAAAATATAAGTAAACGAATGCGGGGATAGCTAGAAGGGAATTGCATGGCACAAGTTACACCATCAAATTTTTGAGGAGAACACAATTTTATATGTTTATGGATTTTTGTAGTAGGGACATATTTACGGGGTAATAAATTTTTAGAGGATACCATATTTTGTTACGTTTCAATTAAAGTGAACTTTCAAACAAAGGTATAAAATTTAAAAACTAAACTGCGATGTTTATAATTTTACTTTCGTTTGTATCGATTTTAAATAGAGAAGAGCGATGAATTTTCTTTTGAGAAGCCTGCGCCATTGCCCTTGGGGAGAAATGCCTCTGTGGGCATCTCGAAATATGACAAAATCACATCTAAAACACTAAAATTATGTTTAAAAAATCTAATATTGCATTTAATACCTGATTATCCTTACACTGACAATGTTACAGAAAGATAAACAACTTTTTTTTTCCGTACGCACACTAGTTGATATTCAAATTCATGCAGTATATATTATTTTTTTTAACATACCCAAAAGGCAGAACTGATGGTTACCTCTTCAGCGAAAGTTCATTTAGCGGTCTATTTAATTTAATGTACCAGCTCGGACCTACGTCTTCACCGAGCCATTGAATGCCTCTTCCTCAATAAGCTTCAGGATTTGAATAATGGTAAGAGGATTCTCCGGAATACTGACTGTGACTGCGAATTTTTGTTCGGACGTCAGCACGGAAAAAATATTTTTTTTCTTAATTTAACCTTAAATTGTAAATTAAGTTAATGAAAAAAATTATAATCTTAAAATAAAAAAAAATTGATTACATTCCTATGTAGAAACGCTGCAAATTATTTCAAAATGGTTTATTATTTCCAAACAATTATACATCTAAAGTTACATTACCTTCATACTTACAAAGAAAAATAAATAAAAGGTGATTCCAATTATTGGACTAAACTTTTTTTTTAAACATTAGTAATATGCTAAAAAAAAATAGCATTACTTTAGTAACACATTCAAAATTTAAAAACATAACAAAGGATATAACATCTGGAGTGAGTAGAACATATAAAAAAAAAAACGGAGACCATATATTTGCTCCTTATTGTCCGATTTTAACGATTTTTTTTTTTTTTTTGATTTTTTAAGAAATTTTGTAAACTTTTAAAAAACCATCTATAGCAACGCTGGTTGTTCTGCCGCCATTTTGAAATTAAAAGGCGGATAGTAATGCCGATGAAGGAAGATCATCATAAAGTTACATTTAAACCTCTGATTTTATATCCAAATTTGAAAAAAGTTGGTGCAGTAGTTTCGGAGAAAATGGGCGGACGGCGGACGGACAAAAAGATTTTTATACGTTTTTCGAATTCTGAAATGTGAAACATCAAATTTTGAGAGGGAGTTAAGTTTTTGAATTTTTTGGTCGGTCACAATGGTTGATTATTGAAAATAATTGTTTAATAATACTTTAACAATGATTCCTAAGATGTGAAATGAAGGTTTCCTGACTCATCAATCAACAGATTCTTCAGTTCATACTTCGGATTCACAATAATCTCAACGAATGACAAACGGTCGGAAATATGCCAGCGTATAATAGACGCAAACCAGGTTATTAAAGTGTTATCAATCAGTTCAAAGTCCTCCAGGTCATGGAAGATTTAAACTTTTTTGAACATTTCTAAAATCTTGAAGTTTTGATATTTTAAGACATGGGAACACATCGCGGCCCTATCAGGCGGTACATGCTCACTCTCCCTTCCCTACATACTTTATTTTCCGTCATGTATTGTAGTGCCGGCCTTAGGGCCGACCAAACCGGGCAATTGCCTAGGGGAGCCGATCGGGAGAGAGACACCCACCACTTGTTAAGAATAAAAAATAAAATGATTTTGCATATGAGAATAAATAATTTTAGTCTATTGACAGAGAAACTGAATTAGAGACATATTGAATCAAATAAAATTCGAATATTACTTAACATAAAACAGATTGAGAAACAAATTACATTTTTGAGGGGCGGGAGATGGCGTCATTGTCAGTGGGCGCCAAATATCTAAGGCTGACACAGATATATTGCGATAAGCCACATCATCGAGATGCTGTTGAAGTGTTATGTATATTTGCAATTAGCTCTAACAAATCTTCTTACCTAATAATAATAATATTTTTTTAATAATCTAAATAGCCATACTTATGTTGTTATTATTTTAATATTTATTATATATTATTTATTGAGACACTGTATACTAAATATATACACACTGTACATATCTTATGCAATACCCTTGTTCTAGTTGGCTTCCGCTGGCCCTGAGTACCGACTGGTCGGACAAGGGCTGCCCGAGTACCCCCTACCGAAGCCTGGACGGCAGCTGCAACAACGTGAGGAGACCCTACGAAGGAGCTGCCTACAGCCACTTCACCTCCCTAGTGTCCGCTCTCCAAGATAGTCGTGAGTATCCTTTTGTAACAATATATACCCTGGGAATCAGTTCCATTTCGGTCTTGTTCTGTTCCTTCGCAATGTTGTTTGTAATTTAAAGGAGAAGAAAAAAAGTAGGTTTTATTTTTTTCTAATGGAATTATTGGTATCAATGGATTCATAACGAAGAGCTAGATTCTTCCAGGCATTCAGAATGTGAACAATATAAAGGGGGACGGAATGGCCCAGCGGGCTGACGCGTGTACAAAACCCGCGTTGTCCGACGACCAACCACATGATAAACCGAAGTTACTAGTTATAAAATAAATAGAAGTTCGCGTACGGGTGTCGGGGGTCTTTTAACTTTGGCATTAATCCCCCACCCTCTCCTCTGGCCCGCGGAATCTTTTACAGATTGAAAGGCGAGGAACGTATGGAAAAGACATAAGATCGTAGTTATTAAATTTTTCATTATAATTCCCTAGAACAATGAAGCTTTTCATTCTGAACTCATCAAGTCTTATTAATAAAACTCAATTAATAAAAATTTAAAAAAAGTAACTCACCCTTAGTCTTTACACTAGAAACTGTAAATAATTTTGTTGAGATGTCAAGCAGCATATCAGTGGTACCCAGAAGAGGGTTTTGATGGCGAGTTGCGCCAAAAAAACTTTTGAGGTGTTTTTGAATATTTTAGGGCGGCAAACTTCGAAGGTATTATGAATTTTCGGAATGAAAAATTTAAGACTAAGATACAAGAAGAAAACATGGAACATCAAGTATAATTGTAAATGATCGAGGATTTTTCTTATTCTACCTTCTCTTGCTCTGTTTTTAAGAAAACGTCTCCAATAAAATATCTTGGCTGGAGGGATAGGTTCTTGCGCCATAGACCTTGAGGGGGATGGGCACCCCTGTAAATCTATATTTCAAATTATGTTACCAATATGAAGGCTTCACTTATTTCATATTAATTTTTACGATATATTGGGGCTCTTATTCCATCTTTAGGAAGAGGAAATTCATAGAAAGAAAAATCTGTATATTTTGACTAATTGTAAGTCTTATTATAATACCCGAGCGCAATGGCGTAAATAGCTGGAAGCAAGGTGACAAATGCGACAGGCTCCCCCTTAGGCCTTAGGAAAGGAACTCGAATTGGAGACGAGACTTGATTTTGTTTCATGTACATCAACCTAATTTTTAAAAACATGTCATCTACTTCTAAATTAAAAAGCATTACATCTAATTTCCGTATAATAGTAGTTAGGCCGCTAATATTATTAAAATATTAATAATGTATTTTTGTTCCGAAATTATAACAATAAAACATAATATCAGATTATATTTGCAATAATAAAATTAATTGCTAACATTGTACTATTGTGTATGACACATCCTCAAATTGTTCTATTATGTATTACATATCTTCAAATTTTGATTAAAATGTTTAAAGATTCCCAAAAATTGTGTACCACGTGGCTCCAAAATCATATTATCCTCCTACCTGATCATATATTTGTTATAAATCTCAATATTTTATCATAGCGTTTGTTAATCTTGCTTACCCAAAACACATAGATTTTTATATCTCGCTTTAGATATCTTGCTGTTTGAAAAAAAAATCATGGTTAGATAAAGACGAAACACGAAGATAAAGATCCCCAAGATGCTGATTACAGCCGAGACGCATTGTGTGTTCCGACTGTATAGACTTGAGACACGTCCGCGTTATCGAATCTTAAGGAACCAGACAACGAAGACAAATCTTCCGAACTGAGTCAAGACTGTGACATCACGAAAAGATGTCGGGCTCGTGACGTCCAGACAAAGGAACCACCGTTTGACAAAAAAATGTCGGAAGAGAAAGGTACTTTTTCTTACAGAGTGCCCATCGTCCTAACTAGGCTACGTTGTGTAACCTCTATAGGAGGGTACATTGGCTTACATAAAAGTACATGACGTCCACAGCATATATCATATATTTGTGATATATTTCTCTACTTCCATTAAAAGTACTTACTTTCTTATATCGGCTGAAAACATTCATTCAGAGTTTAATGGAAACCATCCGGCCTGAAGGTTAATAAATAAGATTGAACAGGAAATGTCCGATAAGGAAGTGTTTATCATCATGTAATAATTCATTATACATGAGCGTAAATTATTTTATTTTTCACTCAATCTAACATGTTAGAGGAACTAAAACTAGAAAAAGCGTCAAGAAAGTATCTATCAACTAGTTAATTATTCTTCAAGTAATTAAATTTATTTTCTGTTGGATGAAATTACATCATGGGATTTTGTAAACAACAACCTGTCTTAGATTAAGATTAAGAGTCTGTGACCTGTCTGTACCACTACAACCCATCAAGAGTCTTGGTTTCAGTACTTTTTAAGAAAGTACGAAAGGATGTACTTTACTACTAAGCTACCCCTCGCTGTAACATTATGAGTCTATACTAGTAAAAATATAATGTGAATTCAACTGATCCTCTTGATCTAATAGTATTAATTAAATAGCATAAGCTCTCATGGTACAAAATTAAAAAAAAAATAATAAACAAAGGTTAGGAACCCAAAAATTGAATCTATTACAGCTTTAATTATAATTTTATTCGTACGACTTAATGTGTAACATCAAAACGTTGAGTAGTAATGTGTATATTATAATTAGATTTTATATTTTCTGTTTATATGGTGTGAATGTGTTCATATATATCACTATAAATGAGACGTTTGCTATCAAAACCAGCTCATTCCATATTTTTCTGAAATCCACATGTTTGCATATTTTGAAAGTTTAGAGGGTCCTTCATAACCAGTCGAAGGGATATAGCTCAAATCCCTCTCATTCCAACCCAAAATTAGATGAAAAGGTTTGCCCTCTGGAACAAATCCAGCTTGTTGTGGAAATGGCATTTCAAGTTTTCGGCAACGAAACGCTTTTCTTTGAAAAGAAATTCAAGCAATGATAACGTGATTGTGAAAGGGGAAGCCCTGTACTACAACTCAGTCCGTGCGTGTAAAACCATTACCAAGGGACGAAATAAGCTGAAAAACCTGCGGCCCAACCCCCTGCCTGCTGAAGTTGTGGTGGCCCCCTTGCAGATTCGAGATGTTCGAGGAAAAACTTCTTCAAAAACATTTTGGAGTGGAGTGGGAAACCATTGAGAACCTTGGTTATTACAGGGTCCTGATTAAGCGCGGAACCAAGGAAGGCCAGCAGAACAAAACCAAGAATTTGAGCCGATATATCACGACAACGACAATTTGATTTTAATAACGAGCCTTATTTTTCCTTTCTCTCTTTGCTTTCTGCATTTTATTTATAATATTATTTTCCTTTGATAAATAAAAAAAAACACTGTTCCATTTGGCGTTGCTATTTATGACCTTTTTCACATTGTACCAAAGTTTATGTCTCAACTGTGAAATTTCAGATCATTTGAAAAATTTAAGTGGGTGTCATTTATTTAAAATTCGTAAAGCCACAAATAATAACTTGTAAACTGAAAAAAACAAATTTCACACAACTTAATTGAACAAAAAATCTGAAAAAAGGCATGAAAAATTTTGTTTTTGCATCAAAATCAGCTCATTCCAACCTAATTAGTGTAATTACGCCCAAGGTAATGCACCTGGAACGAAAATGAAAAACTAATCAAATTCTAGGCAGTTATACGTACAATTAAAAATTTTTAAAAAAATTAACTTTAGAATTGTTGGCGTGAGAAGTTTTTTGTCTCTCCTGTAAAATTTCCAAAAATGGAATGAGCTGGTTTTGATAGCAAACGCCTCAATTATTGTCCACGTGACAGATTATTATATTACTAAAGAAAAAAAAATTAGAAGATCTAATAAATACAAAATAATCAACTCTATTTCTTTTACACTGAATTTGATATTTGATAATCTAAAGACAGCTGCATCAATTAGTAGCTGTAATCTACATCCTTGAATAGCCTCGACCCAATGAGGAATGCGGTTCATTTTGAAATAACGAAATCAAGTTCCAAGATTAAGGAGATATTTGGCCTGTGAGTGGTGACAGAGCCTTGTACTTTCCAACCATAGTTTGTCTGATATTGCAAATACAATATTCCGAACTTATATATATATAAAGTCCGAAATATGCACGTAAAATAATGAAAAGATATAAAGATAGAAATATTTTTTTCATTAAGCAGAATCATTGTCTGACAATTAGAAAATTAATATATACATACATATAAATAATTATATATATATATATATATATATATATATATATATATATATATATATATATATATATATATATATACTTTTAGGGTTTAGAATTTTTAGAATAATCTAGTAGCGGAATTTCCTTGTCTTTTGTTCAAATAGATAATAATTTCTTGTATTCGAATATTCGAAAAAATAAGACTTATGCTTGATCAGAAAAAGTGTGGTCTACTTTATTTTTCGTTAGTTTGAATTTGTATTATCGGCTTTAATCTCTGTCAAAGAGACACGAGACTGTTTGATAACAAACTACACAAAAATCCAATTCATAAAGTGTTATTGTTCAATTTCTGTTAGTTTTAATTTTGTCAATATTTTGTTTTCATATTAACGATTTCCTAAGGACAAATTACTTAAAAGGTTAAATTTGTTATTTTTATTTTTTTCCAACTATTATTATTATTATTATTAATTGCCTGAATACTAGAGACTCCACTAAAGACTTACTAATGAAGTATGTTTTCACGCTCTATAATTATTCGATTAAAAAATAGTTTTCCCAGGAAAAAAGGAATAATGATCAAGAAAGTATCGTAAGAAAGTATCGTTTATTAATTTACATATATGTAAAAATAACGGATTCAATAATTAACTGTTATTGTTTTGCATGATTTATTACTTTTTTTAATTGGCAATTTCAGCAAAGGAATCTAATTGATATATCATCCGAATGGTGAGTGTTTCATTATAAATAGGAATTTTATATATCTTGTGTCAACAAACTACAGCAAAGACAAATGAAATATATTTAAAAAAAGATTTGAGTATGATATTGAAATCTCAAAAG